TTAATTTAATTAATCTAACAGCAATAATTTTAATAACAATCTAAAATAATATATTATATATAATTTTAATAATAATTTTTTAAAATAATGTTGCAGGTAAAGAGGGAAAATGGATTTCTTTTTGTGGCTAAAGAGGGAAAACAGGGATTTTGTTGTGCCAGCAAGGAGAAAAATGCAGGGGATGGGAGATCCCTAATTTTTCCCAGCGATTTTTCGAGCTGACAGTTAATTAAGGAGTTAATTAAGGAATTTTTCAGTGCAGGCAGTGCCTTAATCCGTGCAGACAGGAGCCCAGAACTCTGGGATTTCTCCATCAGATTTTCACCCGTGGGGAGAATTCCACCAGCTGTGCCCGCCCGAGTGACAAACACGGGGAGACAGCGCTCCAGGCAGGCAGGAGCTGGGGAAAAACAGGGAAAAAGGGAAAAACAACCCCAAAAACCATCCCAGAAACACCCCAAAACCCACCACAAAACCATCCCAAAACCATTCTGAAATCTGTCCCAAAAACCACCCAAAAACCACCCCAAAACCGTATCAAAACCATCCCCAAAACCACCCAAAACCACCCCAAAACCATCTCAAACACCACCCCAAAACCCTCCCAAAACCACCCCTAAAACCACCCCAAAACCATCTCAAAACCATCCCCAAAAACACCCAAAAACCATCCCAAAAACACCCAAAAACCCACCACAAAACCATCCCAAAACCATTCTAAAATCTGTCCCAAAACCACCCCAAAACCATCTCAAACACCACCCCAAAACCCTCCCAAAACCACCCCTAAAACCACCCCAAAACCGTCTCAAAACCACGCCAAAAACCATCCCAAAACCATCTCAAACACCACCCTAAAACCCTCCCAAAATCACCCCAAAAACCACCCTAAAACCCTCCCAAAACTATCCCAAACACCACCCCAAAAACCACCCCAAAAACCATCCCAAAACTCATCCTAAAACCATCCCAAAACCATCGCAAAACCCACCCCAAACACCACCCAAAAAGTACCCCAAAAACCACCTCAAAACCATCCCAAAACCACCTCAAAACCACCCCAAACCTCCCAAAAACCACCACAAACACCACACAAAAACCACCCCAAACCATCACAAAAATCACCCCAAAACCTCCTCAAAAACTATACCAGAACCCAGAACCACCCCAAACACCTCCAGAGCTTTTTCACCCAACTCTGTTCAATCTTAGAAAACCCCATAAAATCTGATTTTTACATCGATTTTCCCGCCCAGCTGCTCCTGGCCCTTTTCTCTGCCATCAATGATTAACCCCGAGGAGCAAAGTCCCTCTGCCCTTCTCCTTTTCCTTTTGGCTCATTCCCAAACCAAAGTCCAGGATAAATCCAGGGGATTTTCTGCCCCACTCTGGGATTTATGACCAGGAAGGGGATGCAGGGAATGAGCCCAAAAAAATTAAATTAAATTTATTAAATTAAATTATATTAATAAATCAATCAATATTTCATTAATTATTAATTAATAAATAAATATTTATTAATTGCTGCCCAATAAATTCAATTTAAATTCCGATATTGAATCTAAATGGATATATAAAAATAGAGATAAGTGTTTTTAATTTTTTATATAAATATATATTATTTTTATATTATTATTATTATTATTATATAGAATAATTTTATTTATTTGGTTACGTTATATTATATTGTATTATGGTATGTTACATTAATTATATGATATGATTGATATATTATATTATGTGATGTGATGTGATGTGATGTTATGTTATGTTATGTTATATTTATTATATTATATTTATTATTTCTTCCCACCCTGCCCTCTTTCAGGGGGGCAAAAATGAAATGCAAGGAGGACCCACAGAACCTGGGGCGCTGTGTTCACCCCCAAATTTGCAGGATCGCAGCCTGAACCCCTCAAAACCCCTGAATCAAAGCCTGAAAATTGCCTTTCATCACAAATTTTTTAATTTTTAGGGTTTTCTTTCTCCGGGGTGGAAAAGGGAGCCCCAACCGGGGCCTTGACCCCGACGTGATTCGAACACGCAGCCTTCTGATCTGGAGTCAGACGCGCTACCGTTGCGCCACGAGGTCCCGGCAGCGCGAGCGCCGCCCGTGCTGTTAAACCCTTAGTGCCGCCCCCGCGCTGACCCTCGCTACACATCGGGGACTCTCCGTACACCGGGAATTCTGTGCACATTGGAGGCTCCGCGCTCCGGACGCTCCGGTTTTCCCGGGACGGTCCCGGGGCAGCGGCCGCGCCGCCCTGAGGGCTCCGGTCCCGCCCGCCGCGCTGGCCACGCCCCCTGCCCACAGCTCCACGTGTGGGCTGTACCACCCGCAGAGGGGCGGAAGGGTGGAGAGGCCGCACCAGCTGCGCCCTGCAGCAGAGCGGAGGACAATTCCCCCCCCCCCTCGGCCCGCGGTGGGCTGCACGGGTTTAAAGGGGCCGCGCACGGAGAGGGGCCCGGGACGTGAGGAGAGCTGGGAGCGTTCTCAGCCTGCTGGAACCCAGGGCTTTATGTATTGTTTATATAATAAATCTATTCTATTCTAGTCTATTCTATTCTATTTTATTTATTTATTTATTTATTTATTTATTTCTAATAATTTAATTATTAATAAAATAATTATTATAATATATAATATACAATAATATATAATATATAGTACATAATATATACTATCTAAAACATATAGAATGTATAGATAATATATAATATATAGAATATATATAATTATATATTATATATGTTTTTATATGTAATATATTATATATTATATACAACAATTATATATAATCATGTATTCTACATTAATAGTTATATTATATATATATAATATAATATGCATAATAATTATAGATAAATAAATAAATAAATATGTATTAATATAATAAATATTTCTCTGCCTGTCCTGAGAAGTCCTGACCCCCAGGGAAACTCTGCTTTTAACCTTCGTCCATGCAGAAAGCTTCCAATACTTTGGAATGAACAGGAATCTCCAAGTGGGTTAAATGGATAGAAGTGGATCATTTCCTGATTCTCAACCACCACCCCAAAACCATCCCAAAACCACCCCAAAACCATTGCAAAAACCACCCCAAAACCCTCCCAAACAGCACCCCAAAAACCATCCCAAAAATGGGGATCCCCCTCTGATGTCTCTGGATCCCTCCCTGCAGTTCCTGGATCCCTCCCTGATGTTCCTCGATCTCTCCCTACTATTCCTGGACCCCTCTCTATTCTCCTGGATCCATCCCCAATGTTCCTGGATCCCTCCTTGCTTCTCCTGGATGCTTTCCTGACATTCTTGGATCTCTCCTTGATGTCCTTGGATTCCTCCCTGATTCTCATGGATCCCTCCCTGATGTCCCTGCATCCTTTCTTGATGTCCCTGAATCCATCCCCAATGTTCCTGGATCCCTCTCTGATGCTCCTGGATCTCTCCCTGGTGTCCCTGGATTCCTCTCTGATGTCCCTGGATCCCTCCCCAATGTTTCTGGATCCCTCCCTGATTCTCCTTGATCCCTCCTTGATTCTCCTGGATCCCTCCCTGCTATTCCTGGTTCCTCCCTGATGCCCCTGGATCCTTTCTTAATGTCCCTGGATCCCTCCTCAATATTCCTGGATCCTTTCCTGATGTTCTTGGGTCCCTCCCTGAAATTCCTGGATCCCTCCCTGATTCTCCTGGATCCCTCCCTGATTCTCCTGGATCCCTCCCCAATGAGAACAGGAACATTCCCCAAATCCTCCTGGGAAGGGCGAGCAGCCCAGGACAGGATGGATCACGGCAGAAAATCCTCCAGGAAAATGATAAATCCCAGCCAGTGATGCTCGTTAAGATGGAGCCCAATAATTAATTATTCAAATTAAGCTGTTGGGATTTTTTTCCCATCTGACTTCCAAAGGTTTGGCTGGGAGCTTTCCTGACATCTCAGGAATTGTTGTGGGGTTGGTTTGTGCTTTACCAACCCCTGTGCCCTTCCCCACATCCATCCCACTCCCAAACATCCGGAATTTGCATTTCAGGCCTTTTTTTAAAAGGCGAATTTTGGCGTTGGTTTTGAAGAACCAGCCAAGACAAAGAGGGAGCAAAACCCCTCCGCTCCAAAAGACCATAAAATCCACACTCCAAAAATTACCATAAATATTTTATTTATTTTTTAAATCAGTTATTAATTGATTTATTTATTAATTAATATGTTTCTTTACTCTTCTAGCATAGGAATTCCTATAGGAAGCGCTCTGCTCTGTGCGTGGAAGATGCCTGTGCTTATTTACAAATGCCCCATAAATAAAAAATAATAAAATAATAAAAAATTAAAATAAATACCCCCAAAAAAATAAATGTACAGTACAGATTCCTATGGCTCCTTGGCTGGGAGACTCCCCAGGGACATCCTGGGAGTCCTTTCCCAAAGAAATCCGGGCAGCAGGGATAAAAGAAAAGGACAATAAAAAGAGATTTAATGCTTTGATCCGTGTCAGGAGAGGCTGCCAGGAGGGTTCTGAGCCTTCCCCTCCTCGCCAGGGATCGATCCAGGCTGGAATCAGGAAAATCGATGGGGTGGAGCAAAACCCCGAGGCAAAGCCTAAGGTTTAAGCTGGGCTTTGTTGAGTCAGGACCTGCTGCTGAGCTGGCTTTGTTCTTGCTGGTTTTTTTTGTGTGTTTTTGCATAGGAAAAACCTGGAGAAACAGGAGAAATCTGAGGCATGGGAGTCAGTCCAAGCTGGTTTCTCTATAATTAATATTTTTCTACATATCTCAGTGTCCCTGTGGATTTATCCTGGAGTAAAACAAGGCCGGAATTCCACCCTTATCTTCACACCCCTGCTCATTTTCAGGGCAGGGATTAATCCCAACTCGTTTAAATCCTTCAACACATCCCTCGTGTGGCCACCACAAATCCTTGTGCAAAAAAATAAAGTTACATTCAGGAAATGCCCTCGGAGTTCCACCAACTTCCTTGGATTTTGGGGTTTTTTTTTTTGGCCCAAATGTCCTCACCAAGGGCCGTGCTGGGGATGAAAGGTGGAACGGGCTCTGCTGATGTGCAAAAATAGGAACAGGACAAAATCAGCATTTCCCAAAGCAACTGGAGATGTCCTGGGCACACCTGGAGCTTTGTCCTTGGCATAACATTCGGAAAAACACCAATTTTTGGGGCAGCCACCAATTATTTTGGCCTACAGGAAGACTGGGAATACCTGGAAGAAAATCCTCCCTGTGGAAGGGAGGAGGGACAGCTTTGACCAGGAGAGAAAAATATTAAAAAAGGGGATTTTGGTTTTGGTTTTTTTTTGGTTTTTCGTGGTTTTTTGAGTTTTTTTATCTCTTGGCTGCCACCAGGATGCAGGAATTGCCCAAATTCCCAGTGGGAACAAGAGGAGGGAAGCTGGATCCTTTCCTTGCTGTGTTGGGGTTAAAAAAGGATTATTGCTGCTGGGAAAAAATTCATTTTTCTGCCTTCCCTCGGAGCGGAGGCTCCTTCCATGAACACCAGGAATCCGTGGCACTGGGATTTGTAGGAATTTGTAGTCCCGGCAGGGTGGCGGTGGCACCTCGGTGACATCCCCGGCAAGGACAAGGCAGGATCCAGCTCTGCCCTGGGGAGAGGAAACAGTGAGAGAATCTGGGTGATAAATGGGAAAATATGAGGGATAAATGGGAGAATATGGGGGATAAATGGGAGAATATGGGGGATAAATGGGAAAATATGAGGGATAAATGGGAGAATATGGGGGATAAATGGGAAAATATGAGGGATAAATGGGAAAATATGAGGGATAAATGGGAGAATATGGGGGATAAATGGGAAAATATGAGGGATAAATGGGAGAATATGGGGGATAAATGGGAAAATATGAGGATAAATGGGAGAATATGAGGGATAAATGGGAGAATATGGGGGATAAATGGGAGAATATGGGGGATAAATGGAGAATCTATGGGGTAAATGGAAAATCTGGGGCATGGACGGAGAATCTGTGGGGTAAATGGGGAATGTGGAGGATAAATGGAAAATGCGTGGGATAAATGGGAAATCTGTGGGATGAATGGGAGATAAATGGAGAATCTGTGGGATAAATGGGGAATCTGTGGGATAAATGAGAGAATATGGGGGATAAATGAGGAATCTGTGGGGTGAATGGAGAATCTGGGGGATGAATGGGAAAATATGAGGGATTTAAAGGATGAGCTTTAAGGTCCCTTCCCACCAAAAGGGAGGATCTGTGGGATCCGTAGAGAATCTGTGGAATAAATGGGGAATCTGTGGGACGAAAGTGAGAATCTGTGGGATAAATGGGAGAATCTGTGGAATGAAAGAATCTGTGGGATAAATGGGGAATCTATGGGATAAATGGAGAATGTGTGGGGTGAATGGGAGAATATGGGGGATAAATGGGAGAATCTGTGGGATAAATGGGAGAATCTGTGGCATGAAAGAATCTATGGGATCAATGGGGAATGTGTGGGGTAAATGGAGAATGTCTGGGATAACTGCACAGACCACACAGCCCTCTCTGTGCTCCCCCAGCCCCTGATCACTCAGCTCCCTTCCACCACCACCCCGGACCCTTGATTTCAGCCCCTGAGCCCCCCAAACCCCCCAGACACCCCCAGGCAGGGCAGGCAGAGGTGACCCCGCCTGGGGGCTGCTCCTCGCAGGGGTCAGAAAGAGACGCCCGAGGTTCCCCGGTGTACCCAGGGGAGCAGGAGGGTCCCGGGCGGGGCCGCCCCTCACACGGCCGTCTCCTGCCCCCCGCCGGCCTCCTCCTTCTTCCTCTTCATCTTGCAGAAGCCGTGGAGGCCGCAGAAACAGGCGAAGGTGAACTGGGGCATCACCGGGAGCTGGAGACCTGGAGGGGAACAGGGAGAGGAGGCAGGGCAGCAGCTGGGGGTGCACGGCCCCAAAATCCCAAACCTGGGGCATCACCTTGGAATGGGACTCCTTCCCTCCTTCCTTCCCTCCTTCCCTCCTCTTCTCTTTTCTGCTTTTCCCCTTTTTTCCCCTTTTCCCCTTTTTCCCCTTCTCCTTCCCTTTTCCCCACCCTTTTTTCACCCCTTCCCTTCCCTTCCCTTCCCTTCCCTTCCCTTCCCTTCCCTTCCCTTCCCTTCCCTTCCCTTCCCTTCCCTTCCCCTCCCCTCCCCTCTTTGTGTCCGTTTTTTTGCCATTTTTTTTGTTAAAAACTGCCCCAAAGCCCAGCCCACGCCACGGCCCAACAGCTGCAAAATGTAATTATGCAAATGCAAGGCTGGGGGGGGTTTAAATAAGTAACAAATCCTGGCAGAAACGCTGTCTGAAGGCAAAGCTTCCTTCTCTCCCTGCTTGAATCCTCAGCTTTTCACCAAATCACGGAATCCCAGACTGGGCTGGGTTGGGAGGGACCTTAAAGCGCATCCAGTGCCACCCCTGCTGTGGGCAGGGACACCTTTGTCACCACCCCGGGGTGCTCCAAGCCCGGTCCAACCCGGCCTTGGGCACTGCCAGGGCTGGCAGCATCCCTGGACACCCTCCTGGGCCGTTTCCTGATGATTTTACCCCAAAAAAGGCAGCGCTGGTGTTAAGGGGGGTTTGGACTCAGGATTGGCACAAAGGACACGAGGAGCGAGGGCAGCCCGCAGGGTTTGGGGCGCTGTCACCTCCCCAGGCTCTGGGGACCCCCATTTCCCCACCCCACAGCCCTGACGGGCTGGCAGCATCCCTGGACACCCTCCTGGGCCGTTTCCTGATGATTTTACCCCAAAAGAGGCAGCGCTGGTTCTCAGGGGGTCTGGACTCAGGATTGGCACAGAGCCCGGAGAGGTGACAGGATTTGGGGCGCTGTCGCCTCCCCAGGTTCTGGGGACCCCCTTTCCCCACCCCACAGCCCCGGCGGGGTTTGGATCAGCCGGAATTCCCAGCCGGGAGCAAACGGAGCAGGCGGAGGGAGCCCCGGCGGTGACAGCGGTGACAGCGGTGCCACATCCCCGCCCTCCCCTCGTGCCCCTTTCCGCGGGTGCAGCTGCAGCACAAAGGCCCAAAAATCGCCTTGAAATTCCCGCTGCGGCCGCGGCCATCTGGGAACCTGCGTGAGCATCCCAAATTCAAACCGGGCACCGCTGGAGCACCGGGAGGGCAGCGGCGCTGAGAGCCCCGCTCGGAAATGTCCCTTTGTGTGCTCGGGAGCGGCACAGAGAGAAAAGAGCTCGTTCTGATAAAGAGGAAATTTATATTTATTGTCTCAGATAAATTTTATATCTATATCTATATATTTATTTATATTCATTTATTTATATATATATATATATATATATATATATGTATATATATATTTATTTATATATATATTCATTTATTTATATGTATATTTATATATATGTATGTATATAAATATGTATGTATATGTATATATATAAATAAATAAATACATCTATATAATGAAGAGGAAAATTCTTTTCTCAGATAAATTCATATATGTAAATATAAATATATATTTTTATATAAAAATACAAGTATATATAAATATAAGTATGTATAAACATAAGTATATATAATATATAAATATAAGTATATATTAATATATATGTAAAAATATATACTTATATACTCTATACATTTTATTTATATGTAATACATATAATACATATAATATATAAATAAATATGTAAATAAAATGTATATATAATATACTTATTATGAAATATATATATTATATAATATATATTATATATAAAAAATTATGTCTACGTTTATATATATATATAAATTTTATATATAATTTATATATATATATATATCATTTATCTGAGCATTTTTCTGAGAAAAAGGGCCAGGAAGCCCCTGGTACTCTTGCAAGGAATCTGCAAGGAAGAATCTTCCTCTCCCCCGCCCTTATTTGTTGCCAGGGGGCAAAAAATTTTGGGCCGAGGGGCCCGGGGGGACAGAGGGGGAACAGGAGGGGACGGGGACAGCGACAGGGGCAGTGCGGGGCCGCTCCAGCCCTGCCCACCCGTCTCTGGCCCGTCCTCTCCTGGCTGCGGGACTGTTGAATAATGAAATTAAACCACGCTGCCCATAATCTCCAGAGAAACCCCAGACCTCCCAGGCAGGTCCCCGGGGGCGCCCTGTGCCACCCCACGTCCCCGTGTCCCCCCCCCTCCGCCTCCTTTTACCGACACAAAACCCCCCCGAGAGCCTGGGGGGTCCGGCTGGGACCCCACCAGGGACCTTTTGAGATGTTCAGAGGGGTTTGGAGCTTTTCAGGCTGACCCTGTGCCTCCCATTCAGGCTGGGGACAATGATGAATGAGCCCCGGAGAATGGAGCGGCCCAGCTGAGGCTGTTCCCCTTGAAAAGGTGGAAAAAGGGATGGTGGAGGAGCAGCAATAATGAAAAATAAAAATGAAACGAGCCGGTTTGGGGAGTGCTGACAGGAGCCCGGGCTGATTTGCAGGCTCGCCAGCCCCGCGCTGCCCTTTCCGTTCAAGGCAGAAGATCCTGGGGATAAAACTGGGAGAGAATGAGCGGAGCATTAAAAATGTAAAGCTGGAGAATTCTCTTTTCGCCAACTGCATCACCCCGGGCCGTGTTTGTCACTGTCACGGTGATGAATTGGGAGCTGTCTGCAATCAGCACGCTCACTTTCATAATGTCACTTTTCCCCGAGCCCGGAAAAATGTCTTTCTGAGGCAGCTGGAGCGAGTCTGCTCCTCAACACAGCGATTCCCGTTTTTTCTGGGTTTGCCGGGCCTCAGGAAGCTCCTGGCACCGGCAGGGAAGGGCAGCAGGGGTGGCTGGGCTCAGGTGACACTGCCAGGTGACACCAGCGGCCGCCACCCCTGTGGGATGCTCAGGCACCCGCGCCTTTCATTCCAGCTGCTTCTTCTCCCTCAGCTTTCCAATTTCTGGGAGACACCCTCTTCAAAAAATTCACTTTTTAGGGAATCCGTTGGAAAAAACAGCAAGTTTTGCATTGGAACTCCTGGATTTCAGAGGTTTTTCTCCCTCAGCTTTCCTATTTCTGGGAGACACCCTCTTCAAAAAATTCACTTTTTAGGGAATCCGTTGGAAAAAACAGCAAGTTTTGCATTGGAACTCCTGGATTTCAGAGGTTTTTCTCCCTCAGCTTTCCTATTTCTGGGAGACACCCTCATCAAAAAATTCACTTTTTAGGGAATCTGTTGGAAAAAACAGCAGGTTTTGCATTGGAACCGCTGGACTTCAGACGTTTTTCTCCCTCAGCTTTCCTATTTCTGGGAGACACCCTCTTCAAAAAATTCACTTTTTAGGGAATCCATTGGAAAAACCAGCAGGTTTTGCATTGGAACCCCTGGATTTCAGAGCTGCCTTTTGCTGCTGGTTTCTTTCCTTAGGAAAGATTATTTGCAATGGAAATCTGGGCTGTGTTTTTTTTGGCAGGGAGCAGAATGAAATGAAATAATTTGTGATGAAACTGAGGGAAAAATAATTTAAAAAAAATAATAATTTCATTTGCCTTTCGCCATAACTGCTACATCCAGTTTTTCAATCGAAGCTGAGTTGATTGAATATACCCAATGTATTCAGTTGGGTATTGAATAAAGCCAAGGATTTGAGGAGGGACTGATGGTTTTGGGATCACCAGCCTGGATTTTAAGATCCCCCGTGGAAGGGTCACAGCTGGACCTTCCCTGCTGAATCCTGGGCGTTTCTGGGTGATGGGGATGCTCCATCCACAGAGTTTTGCCTGGTTTTTTTTTTGTTGTTGTTGTTGTTCCTTTGATTTTTAAGCATCCAAAGTTCAGCTCCTGCCTCCCAGAACTCTCTGTTGTGACATCCTCTCCCTGTGTGGACACAACCCCTTTCCCACACTCCTCATCCTCTTCCTCCCAGCCCCAAAATCCACCCAATTTAACATTTTTCCAGCCAACTTTTCAAACCCATTATTTCCTAGCCCGGCTTTTTATTTTTTCCCCCTCCCCAAAAAAAATTTTAAAAAAATACAAAAAAACTCAGACTTTTCGCTGCTTACAACCAATCCTGAGCCAAACCCCACTTCAAAGCCGCTTCTCTAATGAGCAGCCGAGCATTAACAACCCAACAACAGAGGAGCCAGAGGAGGGGATAAAAACCGACCTGAAAAGCAGCGCCATCCCTTTAAGGGGAGATAATGAAGGGAGAAGATGTTGCCTGGCATGTTTGCAGAGAATCGCTAATTAAAACATCGCTTCTGTAAAGTCTGCTGATGCCATTGATTCTTCCCCCCGCACGGTTAATTTGCTGCTGGCGAGGCAAAGTCGCCAGGGTCCTCATTATAAAAATTTCACCGGCTGCAGCTAATGGTTGTAATTAATAGGTGCAATAAATTTCAAATGGGCAGCCGGGGTGTTCATTAGCTCGGGGCTGACTCAGCACCGGTGGCCTCACCAGTTCCTAAATAATCCATTCCCAGGCAGCCGGGAGGAGGAGGAGGAGGAGGAGGAGGAGGAAGGTGGCACAACCGGTGCAGCCCAAATTCCCCACCCCCAAAAAAAAAAAAAATTTATTTTTTTAAAATAAAATATCCGGCAGAGCTGGATAAATAATTCCCAGATTTGTCTTTTTTGCCTATTTTTTTAAAATTATTATTATTTATTGTCCCGCTGGTGAATTATCAGCGCAAAACTTCCCTGAGCTTTTCCCAATTTGGGGTGGGAGCAGCGCTCCAGGAACTGAACCCTCTGAGGGAAAATATCCAACACCAACTCCTCACACCCAGGCATGGATCAAAGCCAGGCGTGGTTTGGGTCGAGGATATTTGGGATTTAATGTGGATTTTAATTTCCTGGCTCTTCTCCTGATCATCCTGAGCCAGGATTGAGCCCCAAACCACTCCAGGCTCC